AAAAAACTAAAAACAAAAAACAGCAGCTTCTTTGTGGTGTTGCTAGCTTTCCCTTATTATTCACAATCATAAATACTCCTAACTCACTGACTTTTGATAAAGGTTGCACTACAGTGTAAACCAGAGAGGCGATGAGTGCCGGCCATGAAAAGAGGCATGGCACTCATCATCACTATCGTCACCATCATCACCACCATCATCATCATCACAGTCTCTGAACACTTGGGAGTAGGGAAACCGCGGCGGGGGCCTCTTACTGCGTGTCTGAGGCAAAGAGGCTCTGCATAGTATGGTCAGACAGATAGATAATGGCTGCCCACCGTGGACTGAAAGGAGGCTCTCGGTCCAGCACTCAAGGAGAGCACGACCTAGGGAAAAATAAATGGGGTCGTCTCCGTAAGAAGGAGAGCACGGAAACCTGAGCGGTGGAGCCTGACAGCACATCAGTCCAAAATAGGTGTACGACAGTCAGCTGGCCCTGTGAGTACAAGTGTTTGTGTGCGCGTGTCACACTGCATTAAAACTAACTAATACCAACCACTCCTGTTGGCTACCCTTATACAACAATCACTAATACGCCTAACCAGCGTGACTGTTTGAATAAAGCGTTGCATAGCAGTGTAAAACCAGAGAGGCGATAGTGCGGCCATAAAAGAGCATAGGCAACTCATCTCACTACGTCACCTCTACACCACCATTCATCATCATCACAGTCTCTGATAACACTTGTGGGAATGTAGGGAAACCGCGGCGGGCCTCTTACTGCGGTCTGAGGGCAAAGAGCTTCCATATGATGGTCAGACAGATAGATAATGGCTGCCCACCGTGACTGAAAAGGGAGCTCTCGGTCCAGCACTCAAAGGGAGCCGACCTAGGAAAAAATAAAATGGGGGTCGTCTCCGCTAAAAGGGAGCACGAAACCTGAGCGGTGGAAGCTGACAGCACATCGTCCAAAATAGGTGTACGACAAAGCAGCTGGCCCTGTGATACAGTGTTTGTGTGCGCGTGTCACAACTGCAATTAAAACTAACTAATTTACCAACCACTCCACCACTCACCAGCAACTGCAGTTAGGCAGTGCCAATGTAGCATTTAGAAG